AATTTATAAAGGATGGTGTGCCAGGAAAAAAGACACCAATTGTTGGTCACGGACAATCATAGTTTTAGAAAAGCCTTTCCCTCCCTCCAATTCGGTGTTTCTGACTGGTCCTGGTGGCCATACAAACTAAGACTGTAGATTTATTACGGTGACTTGTACAGACCCGATATAGCCAAAGGCTTCTCTAAGCTTTCGCTGTCCGGGCAGTAGTTCACCAGGTCTTCTGCAGAGCCCCTGGGGGATTCAGACCCCGCCCCCCCACCGCCCATCTTCTGGTTAGCAGGTGAATGGTTAAGCATTAGGACACCAGGACTGCTTACGGTGGGTGACTTTAAGATCTAGCTCCTCAGTGCGGGAGGTGGGGTGGGGGTGGGGCAGAGAATGCCCCAAACAAGCGCCTTGGTGCTAAGTCTGGTCACGGTCATGTCATGGGCAAACCACATTTTTGACTGTTCCCACTGAAATGCACAGTTCTGGGCCATCAGCGCCCACTGACATCAGTCTTTTAATGAAAGCACAATATTAACAAGTGTGACGTGCTGCAGGCCTGTACACGATGAGGCATCATTCAGGAAGATGATGTCATGGGCTTCTTCTGCAAGCCACTGGAAAACAGCCTTCTCCTTCCATGCCAGGGGCTTGAGGAGGGTTCCCAGTACGGCTCCAGGGCAAGAATGTTTCCCAAGTTCCCCAGAATCCTCTCTTGGTGCCACAGCACACAACTTGGGGCATAAAGAAGCCCCAGGCCTGGGCCTCCATGTCTTTCTCTCTCTCTCTCATGAGCCCGAATCAACTCGATGACAACTGGTTTGGTTGGTTCCTAATCGCATCCCCATTAGTTCCATCGTTCCTCGCTGTCCTAAAACGTCCGGGAGGGGCCAGCGGGAGAAATAGCATCACCCTGACCATTTCTAAAGGTCTGGACTTTACTCCTTTCCAAAGACTGGACTCCACCAGGTCTCCTTCGGGCTCTCTGGGAAAACTCCAGAGCCCGGGAGATGTTGGGGGTGGGAGAGAGGGGAGCGGGGTGCAGAAGAGGTGGTCGGTCGTGGCAGTGGTGGTTTCCCTTGCTAGAATCAGCTACCTTGGCGAAGGGGCAAGAGACTGGCCTGTGTCCTGGGAGGGGGATAGGGGAGCAGCAGAGGGAACAGGCTGGGCTGTGTGTGAGGCGCTCGGGTAACAAAGAGCTCTCCAGAAAGGGAAAGCTGGGAACCACCTTTGGAAAAAGGCAACAGGGAAAATGTTTTAATCATTTGTTAGCTGATGCCTCTCAGCTAGGGCTTTTCACTCCGCGCCAATCCAATTACGTTCCCAGGGCACTCGGAGGGGTTCCCACACTGCTATTTTTAAACTGACAAGCAGCAGGCTTGTCCGACTGACTGAGGGTGCTGCAGTTACAAACTTGGGGTTTGCTTGGGCTCGCCCTGACTAGCTAAATCGGCCGCTTTGTTATTCCTCCCCAGGCCGCCTAGCTCACAGCAGGGCAGGTGGGGAGGGGAGCTGTGGGAGAAATTGGACTTTGGGGCTCACTTTTCTCTCCAGTCAGGTAACAGGAGTCAATGCCTAGATGGCACCCCAATCTTCTTGACTCCTAAGGAGGGTCAGCCAAGGAGGCCATAGACAGACCTCCCCAAAGTCACCCGAGACAAAGCCCCATGAGGCACCTTGGAGGGGGAAGGAGGATAAATGTGTGCATCCCTGTTGGTCCCCTGGACGGGTGCTTTGGCAGCCCTGCCCTTGCTCGCATAGAAATGCCCACTCCCAGGATCAAAATGGGCTACACAGGTGGGACATAAGACTGGAGCTAGAGCAGCAGGAGCAGCAGCCCTGGTGGCATAGTGGTTATACACTGGGCTGCTAATGGCAAGGTTAGCAGTTCAAAACCACCAGAGAAAGATGAGACTTTGTACTCCATAACAAGTTAGTCTCCAAAATCCACATGGCCAGTTTGACTCCCTCGTGTAGGCTCACTAGGAGGCAGAAGTGACCCAATGGCAATGAGTGAGGGCAGCAGGAGTGAGCTGGAGACCCCAGGTTGGCTTGAGGGACAAGTTGCCCTAGAAGAGGGACAACACTCGCTGGCCCAGCAACTGTGTTGGATTCCTGCAGGGGTGAGGGGTGCAAGCCCTCCATCTGGGGAGACAAGACTTAGCCAGTATTGGATTGTGTAAAATATGGCAAATATATATATTAAAAAAACTATTATAGGAAAATAACAATAATAAGGGTTCCTGGAGGGGGGAGGGAAGGGATAAAGGGGAGCTGATATCAGGAGTTCAAGAAGAAAGAAACTGATTGTGGTAGCAATTGTACAGTACTGCTTGATGGGATTGAACTACGGAATGTTATGATATCTGGAAAAGCTCCCAATAAAGTGATTAATAAAAAATAATTTTAAAAAAGACGTGGCCAGGCAGTGGCCTGTCGACTGGGCTTCATTCGCAGCCTAAGGCATCACTCTACCCATATACCACTAGGCCTTGTAAATTCAGGTTCAGCTCGGCAAGACTAAACAGAACTCTGATGGTCAGGTGCCCCGCTTTATTCCTCACGCCCAGGGGCTCTGCTGTCCATGAGCTTATGCATTTAGCTGCAGTCCGGCCCACAGGGAGGCAACTTGAAACCCCAGCAACTCCGTGGGACAAAGACAGGACTTTCTACTCCCATAAAGAGTTACAGTCTCCAAGACTCGCAGGAACAGTTCTATCCTGTCCCATACCATTGACTCGACGGCAGTGAGTTAGAGTTCTCTTTGTATCCCTCACTTCAGAAAACACACCTTGCAAATAGTGGGGTGCGGCTGAGAGGCAGCTCATCAAAGCAGCACTAGGGCTCACGGGCCCCACCATGGGCAGGGCTGTGTTGAGGGCTAGATGTGACTGTTTCCAGGCCTGCACGCAGCTCTCCCAGACTGACTGCAAACTGCCCCTCCTGCTCCACAGCGGTGGTCACTTCTGACTCATGGCGACCCCATGTATGTTCAGAGCAGAACTGCTCCACGGGGTTTTCAAGGGAGACCAACACCAGGCCGGTCTCCCAAGGTGTCTCTTGGTGGGTCTGAACCACCACCCTTTCAGAAATGAACTATTTCTGCCGCCCCGGGACAGCCCCCATTAGGACCAGCACAACTCTAACAAATTTCAAGCTCAACAGTCAATAAATAAACCAAAAAGAGTCACTTTCTTTAAAAAGGGCAGGTTGGTTTCTCAATCAAAGAAACCAGCCATTGCTTTAAATGCAAAAACCGAGAAAAACCATCCGGCCTCTGCATGACAACCTGCAGGCGCTGAGAGAGGCTTCCTGTTGGGCGATGCTGACCTAGCCAGTCGCCCAGAGCAAGCTGCCACCTGCCTGGTGGGGCAGGGCAGGATTCCAGGCAAAGGACAAAACACTGTTCCAATCAGCCCATGTCATACCCTAAGCGGCCCGCCTCGAGTTGGGAAGTCCTACTTTCAAGTAGGCCACCCAAGAAACAAAGGGGGCTGGTCACTGTAACAACAGAGGACCTGGGAGATAAGTCAGCCTGGGTCTGGGATGTGCATGTTTACACTGCTTTTCCAACACCAGAAGAAACTGCAGTAAGCCTATGGGGTGACCAGCAAAGTTCACTCGATGAGAAGATTCTACCAAAAAAACACCCCTGCCTGACAGACTCTAAGTTTGGACAGCATCAAAATAACCGCAGCGCCCCTCGCGGCCACGGAGAAGTTCCCAGCACCAGCGCAAGTGAGCAGGAAGTTAAGTCAGCAGGTTTGCACCGCCTCAGCGCCTCATCTCAGCTAGTGGTATTCCTGGACCCCTGGTCACCACCACTGGCAGCCAGTCCCCAAGAAACGCTGTTTTTGAGGTTTTAAGCAAAAAAAGGCCACCAGTAAAATACAAATACGAAGTAACTCCCGCGTAGCATACAAAGTTCATGTTTTTAAATTTTTTAATAAAAAAAAAAAAATACCAGTGTGCTAATTTAAAACTTATTAAGTGGGCTTTAAAAACAACATGGAAAAATACCAGTCTTTTTTTTTAATTCTATTTTTCCACAAACTTTTTGAAGCGCCTTGGTATTTATAAATTATTAAATCTCAGTCATGAAGGGTAGAATCCGGCGAAACATTAAAATGGAAAGTGGTCTGCGTCCTTTGCAACCGTCCCCACTACGTTGGGCACTTTATTGATAAAGGGGGGTGCGGAGGGCCGCGGGGAGAGGCCAACTTCCATCCGGGCTTTAAGACAGAGAAATTGGGGCAGAGAGGCCGAGGCACGCTACCACGCAGGTGCCAGCTCGCGGACCGCCCAGCCCCAGCCGCTCGCCTCGCACAGCAGCTGGGCTGGCAGCAAGAGAGCGCCCCGGGAAAGCGCCCGCTGCCCCGGCCCCGCAGCGCCAACCCGCGCGCCCCGGCGCCGAGGGAGCCGCGCCCGCGCCAAGCCCGAGCTTCCGACCGGAATAATTACCGTCTTACAGCAATTTGTGCTCCGCCGTAAATTACTACGTGAACTCACAAGGTTAAGTACACTCACAAAGCCCAAAGCCCACACTGCAATTGTTCCGAGGCCGGCGCAGACCGCAGCGCTTGGCAGGCAGGTTCCGGACCCGGCGGCGCGGCGCGGCGGGGCCCGAGTCCCCGGCGCCCCGAGAGCATCGGGTTTCCCGGAGCCGCGCTGGAACGGGGACTGGCAAGCCGCACAAAGGACCTCGGACACTGGACCAGGTGTGGGGCCGACGCGCCCCACGACGGTGTCCCCCGACTCGCCGGACCCCCGGAGCCCCGCCGTGCGCGAACCCACCCGGCGCGCGCCGAGCCCCTCCGGCAGTCCCTAGGCCGGGGCCGGTCAAGCGGACGCGGTCGCGTTTCTCTCCGGGGAGGTGGCTCGGCAGGGCAGTCAGGTGAGTGCCCTAGAACCGCGCGATCCAGCCCCGCGCCCCTGCTGGGCCGCAGCGGACCGTGGAGACGCCCGCCCGTTCGCCGGCCCCTACGTCGCGGCGCCCCGCCCGAGCCACTGACCTGTCGTCGACGTGCAGGCTCGGCGAACACTTGATGGCCAGCCACGTTTTCCAGTGGACGTGGCGCACCTTGTACACCTGGCCGAAGCCTCCCGAGCCCACCTTCTCCCAGCCCGCGAACTCGCCCGCTTCGAAGGTGCGCAGCAGCCCCAGGGCCCACGGGCTCCCGCACTCGCCCTCCATCGCGCGCCTCTAGCTGCCGCCCGGCGCCGACTGGGCTGCCCAGGTACCCAGCTCCCCAGGTGTGCGCCCCGCCCCCGCGCGACGTCATTTCCGCGGAGAGCCCCGCCCCACCGGCCCCGCCCGTGCCCATCCTCCCAGGTCCTGTGTACACTGACAGCTGGCACCCACTGAGGGATTTTGCGTCCTCCCTGGGGGCCACGAAACGCGAGAAGGGCCTGGCGCCTGCTTTTTTGTTTTGTTCTTTTGTTTTGAAGGTCATTGTAGTCACGGGCAGTTGTAAAAGATAATACACTTTTTCCAATTTCCCAATGGTAACAATTTGCAAAATTTAAAGTATAACTTCACAACTAAGTATAACCTTACAACATCCACTTATTTTCGTGGATGTTAAATTGTGCAAGTTTCCCACCTGTATAGATTCAGATGTCCTCCACCATCCCATTGCCATCGACTCCATTCTGATTCATGGTGACCCTAACCTGAGTTCCCGATGTAGTAAATATTTATGGGAGTTGATAGCCTCAACTTTCTTCTCTGGAGAGGCTGGTGGGTTTGAAATGCTGACCTTGTGACTAGCAGTGCAATGCTTATAAGACAGAGCCACCAGAGATCATGAACATTTCTATCACCACGAAGATCCCTCCTGTCACCCCTAGAAACTTGAACACCTGCCCCACACACAAGCCCTGGCAACCAGGAATCTTTCCCTCTATTTCTATAAAAATAATTTATTGATCTTTTTATTGGGGGCTCTTACAGAGATTATAACAATCCACAAATCAATTACATCAAGCAAACTTGTACAGATGCTGCCATCATCATTTTCAAAAGATTTTCTTTCTACTTGAGGCCCTTGATATCAGCTCCTCTTTATTCCTTCCCTCTCTCACCCTACAACTCATGTGAACCCTTAATAAATTATATAGATGTATTTCATATCTTACATCGTCTGATGTATCGCTTCACCACAGTGCTGTTCAAAAGTGTTAGGAAAACAGAGTCATACATATATAACCTTTTAACAACCTGTGGTATGCAGATGAAATAAATTTGCTTGCTGAAAGTGAGAAGGAATTGAAGTACTTGCTGATGAAGATCAAGGATTGCAGCCTTTGGTATGGATTATAACTCAGTGTAAAAGAGACCCAAATCCTTACAACTGGACCAGTAGGTAGGTAACCTGATGATAAATGGAGAAAAGGTTGAATTGGTCAAGGATTTCGTCTTGCTTGGATTCACAATCAATGCTCATGGAAGCAGCAGTCAAGAGACCAAAGGATACGTTGCATTTGGTAAACCTGCCACATAAGACCTCTTTACGGTCTTGAAAAGCAAAGATGTTACTTTGAGGAGGAAGGCGCGCCTGACCCAAGCCATGATATTTTTAATTTCCTCATAGGCATGTGAAAGTTGGATATTGAATAAGGAAGACCGAAGAACTGATACGTGTGAACTAGGGTGCTTGTGGAGACTGTTGAAAGTGCCATGGACTGCCAGAGGAATGAGCAAACCCATCTTGGAAGGAGTACAGCCAAAATCCTCCTTATAAGTAAGGATGGCAAGACTTTGTCTTTTGTGCTTTGCACATGTTCTCGGGAAAGATCAGTCCTTGGAGAAGGACAGCATGCTTGGTCATGCAGAACGACATTGAGAAAGAGGAAGGCCTTCAGCAAATGGGTTGACCCTGTGACCACAAAAATGGGCCCAAACATAACAATTGTGGGGATGGTGACGGGTCAGAAAGCGTGTGTCGTCCTGTTGTACACAGGACTGCTATGAGGTGGGGCCCATTCAATGGCACCTAATGGCAACCAAGAACTACAGTCTCAAAAGCTCAGCGGAGCAGCCCTATGCTCTGCTACAGGTCGCTCTGAGTCGGAATTGACTCGGTGGCAGTGAGTTTTCGAGTTTTCCTTTATCTGTAGAACTGATTGCTTGAGGAGGAAAGGTGTTTTTCCGCCTTTGGAGGTGGGGTGGGAAATCCCTGCTTGAGAGCACTTTGCTATTAGCAAAGGTTAAGGAGCGCTAGTGGTGTGGTGGGTTAGGCATGGGGCTGTTAACTATAAGGTCAGCAGTTCAAAACCCCCAGCCCCTCTGCTGGGGAAAGATGAGACTTTCTACTCCTGTAAAGAGTTACTGCCTCAGAAGCCCACAGGGACAGTTCTACCGGGTCCTGTAACACCCTTATGAATCAGAAGTCACTCAATAGCAGTGACTCTGAGAGTATTGAAAAAAGTTGGTCAGACTGGGGTCAGAGATCAAGCAGTGTAATAATAAACTCCCAGGCCTTAAAAACACTCATTTCTGTAAAGCTGTGTAAGAAGGCTTTTTCTTGGTCAAAGTGAGAGTGGAGAGATTAAACACAAGAGCATTTCAACAGTGTTTAACTCTGTTTTGTGTGTTTAAAACAACTCAGGGCCATCGAGTTGAGGGGGACTCATAGCAATCCTGTATGACAGGGTAGAACTGCCCCTGGGGGGTTCTGAGATTGTAACTCTTCATGGAGTGGAAAGCCTCCACTTTTTCCGGTAGAGCAGCTGGTGGTTGTGAAAAGGGCAAAGAAGGCAATTTTAACGGGAAGCCTCAAGCTTAGCTTCCGCAGGCTTTATTTTCCTCTGGGCAAATGGTAATGGCTATTTTATAGCCAACACCTCAGCCACACCCCTGATTTATGGGAGGGCCTGCCTCAGTAAACAGCTCAGTCACTGGGGCTGTTGACACCTCTGTACATTACAGTCCTTGCCTGGGGGGTTCTTAGGAGACCAGCTATCAAACACAGAATCAAAATTTCCTGAGGAGGCAAAATTATTCTTAACTTGTTTATAACTGAGAGAGAGAGATCGAGAGAGACAGAGAACCAAGCCAATTGCTCTTGAGTTGATCCCAACTCATAATTGCCCCCATGGATTATAGGGTCAAACTGAGCAAAAAACCCACAGCAGAGGGGTGGGGTGGGGGCGTTCTTTCCTGAGATCTTTATCAAAGTAGATTGCCAGGCCTTTCTTCTGAGGCATCTCCAGGTGGATTTGAACACCCACCCTTCCAGTTAGCAGCTAAATTGCTTACAGTGTGTCCCATGAAGGGACTATGATGTAATCTGACACTTTAAACATTATTGGCATGTTGACTCTAAAGACAACTGGAAAGTAAACAAAATGTTGTTGGGAGAAGAGGGAAGGAGAGAAATAAATTGACCAGAAAATTCATCTCCTGCCTTGTCTCCCAGGTTCACCTGGCTCTCAGAGCTCACTCTAGACTGTGAACATGTTCCCAAACATTTGGCCCATCACCCCCTTTGTAGGAAAGGGGGGAAAAAAGCTACTCAGCACCCCCTTGGCATGAAAAACGTTTGTACTATGTTCCATGATCCAGGGTAAAGTGTAGGCACCCGGTTTGCTCCAGTGCACCCCAGGGGCAGGCGGGATCACCCACTTTGGGAACCACTGCTACAGAATCTCACTTGCACGCACACTTCAGCTCTGGGTGACTAACAGTCCACACCAGGCCAGTAATAAAACACTCCAATTTCATTTCTTTAATCATCTGTCTGCTTCACTTGACAAATATTTATGGTGCGTCTGCTGCAGGCTCTGGCTCTCAAACTAGAGTCTAGGGAGACTGTGGTAGTGGATGCCCAGCTGCAGTGGGGACCAGGACAAAGGCCACAGTGGGGACCAGGACTAAGACCACAGCCAGGGCTGGGAGAACCTGGCTTGGAGCCCCCGCTCCTCTGCAGAGCGCTCCCTAGAAAGGTCACTACACTTTCTCCAAGGTTTGAGTTCCCAATCTGTAGAAAGGAAACACATTTCCTGGCTGAGAGTTTGAAGGCAAGGTGCTGAGCCCTCAGGGAAGACAGGCGTGCACTTGCTATGTTAATGACCACTTTGCTTTTACAGCCCCGGCAGGTGAGATTACCACTTCCCAGTATGAAATCCAAACCCACTACCTTCCAGTTGATCCAGACTCCTAGTGACCCTAGACGGGGTTTCCGGGACTCTAACTCTTGACAGGAGCAGGCAGCCTCCTCTGGTGGGTTTGAACTGCTGACCCTCCTAGCACTTAGCAGCTTAAACCCATGGCGCCACGAGGGCTCCACTTCCATGTATAAAAGTACAGAATTTAAAGTTTCATTTTAAGTAACATTTGAGATACCAGTCCATTCATGAAAATTAGTACGTGAACAATACCAAAAGCCAGCTCCACCTATTGCCATTGAGTTGATTCTGACTCATAGCAACCAAATCAGCTGCTGCCCATTCCTACCCATGTCAGACCCGGTGTGCTCCGGCGGTCTTCAGATCGCTGAGGTGCTTTCTGGAAGGCAGGAGATCTCCCGGCCTTTCTTCTCAGGTACTTCCTGGTGGACTTGAACTTCCATGTCCAAGCAGAGTGGGAGGAAAGTGGGAGACACCTCCTGATGACTCTTTTGAGTCTTTTTCATTTTTGCCTTTTGCAAACCAGTGGCTCCGTTAGCTCTAGGAGAACGCCTCAGGGTGGCCCCAGAGCGAAGTCAGCACTCCACCCCCCAGCCTTAATCCGGTTCCCCACCCCTTAAATGTGGGGAGAGGCACATGGAGCTGCAATTCAAGCCTCAGCCACGTGGTGGCAGCCTCCTGCACTCTCTGCTCCTCCAGTCTGGCTGTCAGAAAAAACTGAAATAGTGTGAGTAGCTAAAACAAAGGAAGAAATGATGAAGTAATAGAATTGAACATAGGATTTCAAAAGACAGTTTACGAAGACAAAGTATAGTAAAATGTATAAAAATCTGGAGTTGGAAAACTAAAAGGGAGGAAACCCTTGTATTTCTCAAGCTGAGCAAACTGAAGGAAAAAAATGAGGCCTTGAATTGCTATTTTGAAGAATTCTATGGGCAAAAGATTGAATGATGAAGGAAGCACTAAAAGACAGTGGAAGACAGAAATGGGAGTGTGAGTGCAGACCCCACCACAGCGTGCCAAACCTTGAGGACAAAGTAACCACATGGAGCAACTCCTGAACAG